GCTTCTGCTTCTCTGCTGGCTGCTGAATAGGAGGAGAGGAGTATATGAGAGAAATAGAGAGAGAAGGAGAGAAGCTAAAAGGTGGATAAGGAAAAAGGATACGAAAAGCTTTAACGAAGCGGCGATGTTTAAAAGAGCGAAGGAGAACCAGCAAAAGGGTGGCGTTGACAAACGTTAAGGCGAACCATGTGGTCAATGTGCGTTTAAACGCTCGAGGTAAACGTTTAACGTTCCGCGCGAATATACGGAACGTTCTGCCGGTTATTTCGAATACGAGGGACCCGTTTTCACGTCGGCGTAACTCACGTCGCGACGGCGAGCGTCTCCTTCGGTAACGTTCTCTGGCCTCCCTTCCTGTTCGGGGAGAACCCTCGAACAACGAAATGCGAACGTCTTCGGGTTCCTTTCAGATCCTTTCCGGTACTCCTGATCGCGAATCCGTTTTTTTTGCCTTGAATCACATGAAAACACTCTCAGAAAAATACTTTATATCGGTTCTCGGTAATTCTGTGATAATAAATTTTGTATAATTTGATCAGGGTCTCTGGAGAGTGTATTAAGAATTGTTGAAAATAATGTTTTGCAATCTATATTGTTGGTATTTGTTATAAGTAATCTTTTGACGAGATCTTGAAAGAAGAACTAAACCTGGAGGATAATAAATAATACCTGTCGAATAATCGTCGGGCGTGGAGGATTAATAAGCCTCACGGGAATGTTCAGAGTCCTTCTTGCCGTTCTATTCTATCCCAGACTCATTGTCCATCCGTTGGGTACTTACGTTTGACTCTGAAGGATATTCCAAGAGAAGGAAGAGTGCCATAAGAAAAAGCGTAAGATTGATCGCGAATGACGGTAGGGAGGTGGAGGCAGATTAGCGGTTTATCGTAGCCCGATCGCAGGGAGAAATAGAGTGGAATAGGGGGAGAGGGAGGGTTGAGTCGTGTCAGATCAGTTGGAGGAATGGTGCGGCGGGGCTGAAAAGAGGCTGATGGCCCAGTTGGCGAACGCGACTTGCATTTCAATGCGGCGAACGCGTACGTAAAAGTGTTTGGCGGATTCCAAGAGGGTAAAAACCCCTTTCGGCGATGGCCGCTCTGAAAGAGGTCCCACAAAGACGCCGCCATTTCGGGGACGCGTTTTGCGCTTGACCAGACGCGTCCGCAGCCATGGTGGTGCACCCCGAGGAATGTCAATTTCCAATCGGCCTGATTTTCGAGAGGCCTACTTTCGCATTTTGATAATAAGTGTAAATAATTCTACTGTGCATTTTTTTCTTTTTCTTTTATGATCTTATGGATCATAAAAGAATGTCTTTTTGTTTTTTTACGATTTTAGTAATGTCGAATTTAATTTCTGTTACGTTCTCCAGGATTGTATATTGTTTTACTATTATTTTACTACAATACTGAATGACAGAAATTTTCAAGGATGCAGAGATCGCAAACGGGTTGATCTCTTCGGACTCACAAACTTCGCACGAATTCTCGATATTATCTCTTGGAAAAGGTGCTTTTGGAAGCACGACTGGCTAAGAGTTAAGATACAATAGTTTATAGGTCGTAAAGGGAGCTAGCATGTTGGTTGTCCTTGCGACCGCCGGGAACGAGCGAGTTGACCACACGCGGCATCCGGAGAATCTGTTCATTTATTTCGCATTAAACCTGTTCGAATTTTATGGCCTTCTAAAAGCGAGGCGGCAACAATGTCATCAAGATACTCGACTCGCTAGATTTATTGACGCCCGGAACACAACGCGCTCTTTCTCTCTCTCTCTCTCTCTCTCTTACTCTCCCTCGCTTTCTCCATTTCCCAGGAAACTCAGTGATATTTTATTAATTCGAAAAAATTTTCATTTAAATGAATCAATGCAAATATAACAAAAAATACCAATTATATCTCGTTATACCATTATTGAGATTTCAGTAATCCGTGTTTACAAAAGTTTTTTATTAAATATAAATGTTTCACTGTTAGCTATTGGTAGGTACGGAATAATATATTAAAATATACGAGAGAAAATAATTCTTTACAAAAGAAAAAAAAATGATCATATAAATTTATTGTGTTCGATAAAACCTTCATCAATTACCAAAGTGATTTCCCTAATTAGAGAGACGAGAGAAAAGTAAAGCATTAAATCTATTTACGAGCTATAAACGGGGTACGGGACAAGAAATCTTTAAGGACTCTTGGGATCCCTTTCGACGTTCAGCCGAAATAAAATGAACGAACGATCCAACCGCGAGACGTTTCCCGCTGTGCCATCACAATCATTCTCTCGTTGGATATACTTCAAACAATCTTCCTAAGAAAGAAAGAAAGAAAGAAATAAAGAAATAATAATACAGAGCAATGTGTGCAATTAATATGATGCGAATTCAGTCGTGGTAATAAACTAGAAACGTAACAACAATGTCGAGAAATTTCTTGCGATTAAAAAAAAAGGTGAAAACAAAAAAAAGTGTATAACGATTTAAACTTTGTTAGACTTAGCCGAGGGAAAACCTTCCTCAGAGTGCCGATTCTTTGAGCGCGTTAGCCATTCAGGTCAGAGGTTTCCGCGAGTTGCATTATTTAAACGGGGAATCGCGGACTCATGGCTTTCTACAAGCCGGACGTAGTCGGCATATTCAAAGAACATTGCAGGCGCGCGTACACTTGAGATTAGCCGAGTTCATTATCGTGGAAAAACGTAGGATCGTGCTTGGTCGAATGATTGCAACCGCTATGTCGCAGGAGAAAATCTGTGCCGTATGATTATCCGTGCGAAACCAAACGACGATAGATATTTCGAAAATTGGAATCTGTCGATCAGATCGATCGATCGATCGATCGTTCGTATGTTCGTTCGTTCGATCGAATGTTACGATAAACGATTGTTGTCTTCTTACGGGATGGAAAATTTTTCAACTATCTAACTGTATCCAACGTCTTGCAATCTTGTCGACATTTCGTAATACGTTTAACTATTTTATTGGCAAAATATGGAAAGTAGTTTCGCGCATGGTTTTATTTATACACATTCGTTTAAATACATTTTCATAGATAATAAAAGTTTTAGTTGGAATCGAAAGAAATCGATTCGCATTATACGAAATAAAAATTGAAGTCGTTAAATTGTTGATTTAGTATTAGATACCGGTTAGAATGAGTTCTCTTTGGAAGTTTTATTTCGTAGAAATTGTTTCAATCGGGAAGTAACTACAAATACGACAGCCGGATTCGATTTCTTTTTCGATTTCTCTGCTTTACGATGATCTAGGCGTCGGCGAAGTAATTATACTCGTTATCCATATAACAAACCCACCTTGTTGTTGTTGTTGTCAATAGCAAAACAATTTAGCAAAGAAATCGATCTCTTCCTCGGACTCTATTCTCCCCCTCCCCGCCCCCTTCATCGATGTTTAATAGCGGCTAAAGAGTTTTTGCGAATAAACTGGCCAATTGACTCTAAGCGATGATTGCTTCATTACTCGCGATGAAACGATACGAGTATGGCAAGCTAGAAATAAGCGGAATGAGAAATGAGTGGAAAAAGGATTCAACGTTGTAATAGCGGAAGCTCGTCAGCCATACGAGTGTACACGTGTTCGAAAGATCGCCAACAGGGTCTTCTCTTTCTCTTATTCTCTCATTCGTAGGGAGTAACGAAGAAGAAAAAGAAGAAGAAGAAGACGAAGAAGAAGAAGAAGAAGAAGAAGAAGAAGAAGACGAAGACGAAGACGAAGATAAGGTACCGATACGTAAGTGACACGTGCTACGAAAATACACGCTAAGAACTAGGGAGGGAAGCGACAAGATAAAATTAGAAGGAGAGAAAGGCGAGTAGTCCGACCGTTTGTTTTGGAATTTCGGTCGTTTCTACGACATCGCGCGAGACTTTTTCTTCCCCTTCGCGAGTCGAGAGGAAAAACGATTTTATTCGGCGAGGAATCTCTTCGTGCCCGGTTCGTGAGTTTCTTCAACGAATCCAAATGTATTATTGCTTGACTCTTGATCGACTTAGAAAAGATTTCAGTTCGTGCGTATTACAACGATCGATTTACTTCGAAACACGGTTTTTTTTCTTTTTATTGTAAAAAGAAATCCTTGTAGAGATCATAAACCGGTGAATTTTACTTAACCGTTTTCTTTACTTTCTTTTCTATTTTGAAAACAAAAAAAAAAAAAGAAACGAAAAAGAATTCTTTCGCGTCAGAGACTTTCCTGCTTGTACCTCTCTCATGTACCCTTTTCTCGCTCTATTTACTTTTTCTTGGAGAACGCTCTCTCTTCGAATGAGTTATCGCAGTAGAGTCTTGAGCCCACTCAATTACCCTAATGAGCACAAACGCCAATAACGCTAGCACGTTTCAGGGAGCACGTCTTATTTTTAAACTGGCCATTCGTGTTGACGAATTTGCGGATGCTTGCTACACGTTTCTCAAGTAAAAGTCAAGAAAAATGTATGTGGGATTTGAAAACAGGCGTGCTCGCAATGAACATCTTATTGTATTTTGAAGTTTCCGATACTGTGGTATTTAAAATAGTCCTCATTATTATTTTATCGACCTTTCTCTTGTATCGTCACAATTGGAATGAAAATTCTGTTGATTAAGTTTTATAAATTTTAGTGGGATGCGTAAAAGTGCTTGAAATATCTTATCAGTAGTCAATGGTTCAGAAACACGAAGATGTCAGACTTAAAGACATTTGCTTTCTCTCTGGTTCTTTTCACTCTCTCTTTTTTCGCCACCGTTTCTGTCAAAATGACAAAGTCCCACCCTCAGAGAGAGCCAAAAAAGACGATTGCGCAGAGCGTCGGTGAATTTATTTTCGTACTTTCGCTCGTCTCCATCTTTTACTTGCCTCCAAAGAATAATAGATTCAAATTCCATTCGAAGCTTTGCCACAAGATCACAGGATTCCCCGAAATTACCGAAAGACGACGCCACCGACCGCGTATTCAACTTCGCCGATAAAACAGATTAATCAATGGCATCCATTTGCGATGTTGCCAAGTGCACCAATTCTAGAAAAACGATTTTTAGAGGTGGGAGGGGTTGATGTTGAAGAAGACGCGAAGGTGACGGTGGTGCACGATAGGGGTGAGAGAAAACAGTGTCTCGAGGGGAAGAATTTTGACGTATTCGGTGTCCACGTGGGCCATGGAAACTTTGTTTGTTCGAAATACGCGCAATCGTAAACGAGTAGAACGCTTTTGTGAGCTATCGGTTGAAGCTTTTATTGGAATTACGTAACGATGTGGAGTCGTTTGAGTGATCAGCTTCAAGAGACTGTCCTCGTTTATTGGAATATTTTGTGGTTTGTAAACAAATTTCTAAATTTATTTGCATTCAATTATGGACTATTACATTTGGCTATTAATGTATAATCGATGGGTGTATGATGATGATGATGTTAAAGTATAATCAATGTTTAGACATTACCGTTACGTTTTATTTAAGGTTACCAGCATGAGTTTTTGGCCGCGAAGAAGATTCCGTATAACGCCGCTACGAGCTGTAGCAGCGTTTTGCTTCATGATTGTACTCTTTTGGTACAGTCTCGGTCGGCAAGAAGTTCCACATCAACCCTGTAGTGCTCCGGAAGAGTACACTGAGAAACTGCATGAGCTTGCCTACAGGTTTGTCCTGCTTCATTGCTTAAGAATACCTGTAACCATTTCAGGATAAAACAGAAATTTAACGATACATTCATTTAAAATTATTTAACTAACAATTAGATAATTCAGTTGTCTTGTAATCAACAGTAAATAAAATCAATATTTTTTTCAAGAAAGTAGGCCACTTCCATCGTTCGACGAGTATTTAAAAAGCACAAAGTACACTACAAACAATTTACTAATCTTATATATAAGAGTCACTGATACATCGTCTTCATTAAAAGAATAACTTTCGTATTGCGCAAAGTAGACTTTCACTGATCACAAATTTCTCTTTTGGTCAACTCTCATAAAGTTATCCTCGATCAAATAGTTTTATTATATAGCTACTTTTCTTTTTTTATTCTTCTTCTTGAAACAGGTCACACTTGGTGTTAGCTAAACTGGGCATCGTACATTTTCTCTGTTTGGGGGCTCTGTGGGGTCAAGTTCGAATAGGTCGGGCACTGCCCTGGGCTCGCAAGGTCGAACTCTGCCTGGTTGATACCTTAAGGGACGATGCTCTCATTACGAAAACGTTTCGAGAGGTAGGCTTAAGCGCTACGTATCTTCACAGTGCTGGAATTTATCGTGTCCAGGAGGATAAGGCTGGGGAAGATTCTCCTAAAGTGGAAATCGTCGTTTTCGAAGAGGATGCTGTGGTAATTATGTATATTGTTTTAGAAAAATATTTAATTAATCAAATAGAGGTACACGTAATTGACTTGCGCTTTATTTAAATTAATTGCAAGAGGATCGTAATATAATCGATAATTGTTTGAAGCTTGGGTAGATAGATTAAAGGGGTTTATTCTCACGATAATATTGACAGTGTCGGTGTAGGGAGCTTAATGAGACGATTGTTCTAATTGCCGAATATAGGAAGAGGAGGAGAAGGGAGATTAAATTCAATATAATAGGACATCCTGATGAATATTGAGATTGCTTTAGTAGACAGCCTAGAAATTACAGCTCCAATGTAAATGAATCACGAATAAGACGAATCATCCTTTATTTCTTATTATTATTGTATTCAGTAAATTACTCATACTTGCGAATATAAATCGTTAGCTTGTAAAATTTAGAATTTGGAAAACTGTCTCGGTTAAAAATTTTCAACTGTTATGTTAACGTCGCGTATTTCCATGTCACATAACCAGGCCAACCGAAAATCATTCCTTGGCAACATATTCGGCAATAAAATGACAGGGAGAACTTCCCGTTTACGTATTTCCGTAAATCATGGCGCCGTTTTATTGAGATTGGCGGTTCTTGTCAACAATTCTCTGCCAACTTTACTGAAACAGAGACCACTCTTTTCCTATTGGTTTTTTTTTATTCTCGTAAAACCATTGAATAGGATTGGTAAAGGTTAAATAGCTGTTCGTTATTTGCAAAATTATTGGAAAACTTTATTTGCATGAGTTGTCTGTAGAAATGAATTCCTTAGAGTCCATGCTTTTTTGTGGGAGGGTATTATTGTTTAATCCAATTGTGTTATTGCTTTATACTTGCAGACTCAAATGGTAAGAAGGGTGGGATGGACAAGAAGGGTCCTGCCACCGGATTGCGAGTTTTCACCGAGTTTGCAGTGCTTTCCGCCTCAACTGGTGATTCCTCCCTTACCAGCAAAACAATTTGGGGGTCGATTAATGCCTGTACCAAGAGAGGGCATCGAACTACAAAAGTATCATTATCCCAATGATTGGTGGTTGGAAATCAAGCCAACGGATTGCACCGAAACTCAAGAAACTAATTCATAGATTGGCCAAGGCTTCCTACGTGTTCTTCGAAGAACTAGTGCCACAGTTTCTACGTGTCCTTTATCAATAATTAGTTCTATTCATAAGTATTACGCATTTAGTTAAATGGGGCTCTTTGATCGCCTCTTATTTATTGATGAGTAGAATAATAGAAAATGAGCCTGAACTCAGCTTCTCCACATTCTATAATCTTTTTATATTTATTATTATTATTACTATTTTTGAAGACTAGAGATATCTTGAGGCTATCGCATTTTATTATAGTTCGAATAAATGCAGAAAAGTGCAGCATGCCAATTCCCTGTAAAACTTTCCTATAGATTTACATCCAAGTTATTGATATAGGTGTATAATATTTAATTGCATTTTCTTCCGAATGGCATAAGATTTGGGAGTCACGTATAAAATATTAGAATGTTTCGTATGGTCCACGTTGATGAAAGTATTAGGAACAAAATTGCTTCGCATTTAAATGCTGAGCTAGATGATCTCAGTAATTATATCATTATCGTCGATGGTATTCTGCAATATTTTCTGAATACCGTGCATTCAAATTAGTGCAGCCTATCGCTTCAAAATCGCATCAAAAATTGACATAATATGCAATATTTATCGCTTATTATGTTTAAACGTATCTCTCTTCCTGTTGTTTTATTTATATAAATCGTTTATACATATAATCAAAGACGTTTTATAAAAGCGTAAGCATTTGTACTTAAATGTAACATGTGATGTAAGAAAAACATTTGACGAGAGATGTACTTGCACGTCAAATTCTTCCTCTTTCGAAAGTTAAATAAAATATACGATAATAATCGTTCAGTCTTTTATTTCAAATTTATCAATCAAAACCTGACATAAAAGTAATCAAGAAAGTTAATCAATATCTATAAGTATTAGTGTAAATTATTATAAGCTGGCATGAATAAGTATATACGTTAATCGATAATGTATTAGTTCATTCTACTAATACCGAAATAATCTAAGATATTTTCAAATTGAAGTGAAAGTATTATTTTTATGATCATTGTTTTCGTTTACTTTATCTCGATAAGGAAACGAGCAGTAACATTAGATACAGTTTCATTTTCGATGATGAGAAAAAAGATAGTCGTGTTTCTGGTTCTTTAATTATCGATCTGAACGCTCAGTAGTATAATCCCTCTTTCTCTTACCCAACGTTGATTCATTCCCTATTTCCTATTCATCGTCTCCAACGTTGTGACATCGGAGATGCTCTCTCACCACGACTTTTCGATCGCTTCGTTCCTTTCAAAACTTCATGGAAGCGAACTGAATCGGAAATGAAAAAGCTTTCCTTGGAGACTCGACAATCCTTTTGCTTTATCATCCATCAAGAACCGATTCCAAAGCTTGCCACGTCGTCTCGGACTCTTCCTTCCTTAAAGATATTTCTTTTCAAATGGACACTCTATACTAAAACGTTTCAAAGAGAATTGCTATTGCTATAAGATGATATAATAAAATCGTGATACATTTCAACAAAGAAAAAAAATAGAATATAATTTTATCTATCACGGAAAGTAATTTATTAGCGTCGCTATTCGCGATGAATTCAAATTAAAAAAAGGAGAATTCATAATATTCCATTGATATTTTATACAACGATGAAAGACAAAATTATCAGATTACGATATATATTTTTTCAAAAGGAAAAAATATTCTAATTATTCTTTTTATAATATAATTCCATTTAATATACGTCTATACGAACGAAACCGTTATATTATCGTGAATGAATTTTTTTCTTGATCTATAATATTTATTAAGATTTTTCTAGAGCTCATTTCGGTCATTCGCTTCGAAGAATCCGAGATTAACGAAAGTGAAGAGAACGAGGAAAGTAGGTGGCATTTCTACGGGCTCTCTCTCTCTCTCTCTCTCTCTCTCTCTCTCTCTCTCTCTCTCTTTCAGGTTCTTAAGAAGTTAAAATTATTATTATTCTACAAGACCGATTTTCTCTTCTTTTTCTCACACCCTCTATCACAACTTTTCGAGCTTTTCATCCTCATGAGCATTAAAGTGCCGATGAAAGAGCGGAGATGCACGGAATGTCAATCAACGATATTAAACTCGATTCTCTGCATCTGTCGTGTTTTAAATTGATGATGCCGAGCGACGTTGCATTGAATGCATGAATTTATTTCATTGGATCGTAATAAAGAAATAAAAGTGTTTTAAAAGGAAAAAAAGAGAGAGAGAGAGAGAGAAAAAAAAAATTACGTACGTGCGGTTGGACCTATGTGTGTCCCAATATAATTTTTTATTCATATTTTCCAAACACACCACCGTGTCGGAAAATGAAATAGCAAAATTAATGCAGGTAATCCAAATGTTTAAGAAATGAAGTTTAACATTAATAAATTAACCGTTGTGTTCAACATAATTTCAAAAAAAGAAATAAAAAAAGAAATGAGAACGTTAAAAGAGAAAAATAGTTTAATTCTTTACAGTACCTTGTTCTGTTCTAAAAAAAGTTACAGTACCTACTTAGAAAACTAACGGATCACAATGCAGGAAAGAAAGCAACGTAATAACGTTGAATGACACTAGACGACGATGCCTAATTAACACCAGAGAAAAAGAAACGTTTTCTTTCGCTTTGTCTCTCTCTTTCTCTTTCTTTCTCTCTTTCTCTCTGATTCCTTGAAGATGTTTAAAAGCTAAAGGTGGGGAAAGTATAAAAGAAGATTCACTGAGAGATACCTTTCAAGTTATTCGACGTCAGTCTATCTACATATATCTGTTGTAAAAAACAAGCACGCGTATAAAATATTTGTCAATTAAATCCATCGAATCGCATAAATAAATTAATCAATCAAGTTAATGATGATCATTGTAATCGTGAGATTAGAAAATTACTATAGAAAAATCATTGACAATTATAAATTGAAAATATTTTCGTAAAATATATTATCAAGACACGAAGAATATGAAATTAAAAGCGAGTAATCGTTCCCAATTAAAAACAATCCAATCGAATTTAAAATCGACGTTTCATTTGTTCATTTTTTTTCATTTTTAAATACTTCTTTTCTTCGTAGGTATTAGCGTTCATTTTATATTTTATACTCTTAATGGAATTCGTCGACGTTTTCGAAATACATAAATACGTTAGACCGTACAAATTTTACAATCCAAAATCACGACACCGATCACGTTGGATCTCTCCTTCGCCAAAATATTCAGGAATTAAAAAGTCTACGAAAAATCATTACACTTCTTCTTCTCGTCCTGGATACTCGAGGTAAGATTTAAAATAAACTGTACGTATAGACTGAAATAATAATATCCTAAAGACACGATTTAACCATGCGTTTAATTTACATTGCGTTCAACTTGTCAGTCATAAAGAAAAAGCATCGAAGATAAATATTGATCATCGAACGGGATCCGAGTTTAAGATTGAAAAAAAAAAACGTAATTTTAATGATCATTCAAATAATTCATTCGCTCTACTTCTAAACCCGTTCTATTCTTTCGTTTAGTTTCATTATTTTCATTCGATATTTTTTTTCGGACGATCGATTTGTATAAAGATTGATAGGTATTATATATACTTGTGGGTATTGGGGTTTATCACGAATCCCTTAGCTTATAATCAAATTATTGTAAACATTACAAGCTATCCAGGTTTGATTATTAATTAAATAAGAGTTCGTTGCTACACAACCGTAGTTATACTATGTATAATACAATACATGGCATGGTTTTGCGTAAAATCGATAGTTTCTCATTCGCACTTACAACGCCGTTGGGCAACCACGAATATTTGGCACTCTCTTATGTGCTGTGTACTACTCGTACATATCTCATATCACTCGAGTCCTTTTAATAGTGCTCGAAGAAACTTTGATACACGAACTTTGCATAGCTACTTATTGTTACCAACGTTTATTATACCTCGAAAATCTATATAATGATTGTCTGGAAGTTAACGCCGAATGATATGGAAATGAAATTATTGCCATAATCTACTTGGTCGCGTTATGATTGTTTTAATATCCCCTCTTGATTGTCCTTCTAACAATATATTTTAATAATTCGTTTCTCAGAAGAGAATCGTTACGCGAGAGAACATTCGTGAACATTTTATTTTTTTAACTAATTGCAAGTAACGTATCTATAATTATATTATTTGTATTTTACTTTTTTTCACACAATTTTTTTTCCCTCCCCCTATATATTTCTTGCGTTATCTTTCAGTAACGTTAACCCACTTTCAGGGGTTTTTAGTACGAAGTACTACAGCAGTACGATGTAAAAAAAAGAAGCCTATTCAAAATTTCGCGATGAGTGTGATTATCGTTGAGGCTAATTACGAGCTCTCATTTTCGTTATCTCTATCCGAATGTAGTTTAATCGTGATAAAGACACCATTTTCTAAGAGTCTTTTGATCTTTACTTCCGTTTTCGGACAAGATCAGTCTGGTACTTAACGAATAAAGGGAACTCGTCCTACTTTTCCAAACGGATGTTTTCTCATTATGCGTAATCTTGGAGGTTATCGACCGTATAACCTGAGTCGAAAGTATTTAACGGAATGTCTAATAAATTTCACGCTGTCGTATACGGGGAAATTAATACGCGTGTAATAAATAAAATGATAACATTAATTTGTAAAGAACATTAATCAATTGGTATCTTATATAAAATCATCTTTCGATGATTAGTCGTTCGAACTTTCTTATAACTTCAATGACATTCATTTAGTTTTATCATTAAAATATTCATCTGAACAATAATCGATATATAATATTTAATATCGTTGAGATAAATTGAAACGATTGATCATTTATTCATTTATCTTTTAGACTAAGAAGAGACAATGATTTGAATTTATCTATTAGCTTTCACTTCGTTTTCAACGTGAAAAAATATTCCTAATAATTAATATGTCGATCAACGAAAAAGGTCTCGAGAAATCACGGTTATTAGCGTGAGAAAAGAAAAGAGCACAAATTATCGTGTAAATGATATTATTAAAATATAATTTGATAGTTAATAATACTTTCTAGATATGCTCCTCTTTACGAAGAATCTTCGGTCTCGGATAATCAACCGTATACTATAATTATCCAATTACCGAAACGTCAAGAAAAACGTAAAAATCGTTATTACGAGAGATACTATGATAGGGACGATGATGTTCACGATCGCGAATACATTGGGGATTATAGTGATCACTATGAGGATTTCGATTCTAGAGCGTTTCATATCGGTGAGAAGAAAGTACGAATTAAAGTAAGAATCTTCCTACTTAAATGTTATATATATATATATATATATATATATATATATATATGTTTTTGTTTGTGTATGTGTTTTCTTATATATAACATTTAAATGCATGTCAAAAGTAAAAGTGAAAATACCAAACGTGTTCGTTCGTTACAGGTTACAGAAGGTGCAGACTCGAAGGTACAAATAAAAATATCAAGAATAGACGACGACAAAGGAATCGAAATAATCGATAAAAATAATACAAGCGTATTAACGACGCCGATATATTCGAACAGCGGATTATTATCAACTCGAAATGCCGAGGGAAACTGGTTGCCTTCCGAGCCACCATTATTCTTTCAAAGACAAATACAAAGGGTTTGATCAAATTATTCCTGCCACGTGAAGTCCAATAACTTCGATCTGTATGACAGGAATGATCGTTTCTTTTCTTTCTTTTCTTTTGTTTTTCCTTCTTTTTTTTTTTCTTATTATTATTATCGTACCAACTCATAAGATCTTTATGGAGAAGACTGAATCTTTATTAACTCGGTATTTTAGTTATCGAGGAAGAAGGGAAGAAGTTACACACAACGATCTAAGAGAATAAATTTCAATTGATATATTTATATCCAATACTCGAATCGATTTCCGAGTTAAGAAAAAACAAGTATCAGATGTATGATTCAATTTTTGATGACACGTTCTTTCCCTATTTTTATATATCTACATTTATATAACTTACAATTTACCATTTCTCATTATTGATCGCTTTATTTTATTTTAACTATTAATTTATTGCAATAATAATAATAATAATAATATATAAATATATACGTAACGCGTGTATCTAAATGTATATGCCCTTATAATAATAATATAAGTAAACAAAAATTGTAAACAAAAATTGAATGAGATTATACAGAAATGTTGTTGAAATATGTAACTTTCCCGTTGTGAAACACATCTCCTACACATTGAAATAATTCTGTCGCAATCGGAGAAATGGTGTATCGAATATTGGCAACTAAATTTCTTCGACGACCCAGATTTAAGGTTGTTCCTTGCCAGGAAATCCATCCGCATTTACCTAGACCTTTTCTTAGCGACGACGCCACTGCGAGAATGAATCCGCCGATCTTTCGTCGTCCTTCGAAAAACGTCACGACGATACTTATTTATTTTTCCCTTTTTCTCTTATATATATATATTCGTTCCCGGAGTGACGACGGTAAAATAATATAGAAAAAGAATAAAAAGAGAGAGTGAGATAGAAACAGAGAGAAAGAGATGGGTGGTTTGGAAATACATAAAAAGGAAAAAACATCAACGTGCAGATAGAAAAGGGAGAAAGAGATTCAAGGGTTATAATCCTTGAAGCGCCTTTTATACCACTACTTCAAGTATCACCGTAGCACATCGTTCCCTATTTTCACCGTTTCTCTCTTTTTTCTTTTTCTTTTTTTTTTTCTTTTCCTTTTTTTTTTTATCTTTCCCACTCTTATATTCCCGTATTCCATTTCATTATTTTTAGCGGTAACTGGTATTAAACCTCACCTAGCAAACATTTTCTTCTTCTTTTTCCTCCTTTTCGTTTCTAATAAAAAGAGAGAGAAAAAAACATTAGGAAAAGAAAAAACATCATTAAAAAAAAATAAAAGAAAAGGTTAGCAAGCAAAAACAAGGTGAATAAAATAGTTCGAGAAGTGTATATACCTCAAAGAAAGGACCTCATTTCTCTCAATGTAATTTTTATTTCTAACATAATAAGTCAACGAACATTTCGTAATAATAAATAATAGCAATAATATACAGTGTCTTGTCGTCTTTGTTCGTGGTACGCTGTTAAGAGTGTGTATCTCTCTTTCCTTTTTATTTTATTTTATTTTATTTTCTTCTCTCGCGTCGTCGCAGTAAACTTTTTTCGTCATATCGTCAATTATTTTTATTAGTTTTATTTTTGTTTTGTTTTGTTTTAATTGTGAGTCGCTGTGGTGTGTTTATTGGCTTTTTCGTTTTACATTTGTTGTTGTTGTTGTAGATGTTGTTGTCTTATTTATTATTATTATTACTTCTTTATTAATTTTTTTCACTTTTTTTTAAAGGTATTTTTTCGTCCTCTCCTGTAATCTCTCGTGTTTTTTTTATTTATTTTTCTCGTTTATATTTCTTCTTCTTCTTCTTCTTTATATTTTTTTTTTGTTCATTTTATTTGTTTTTCTCGTAACACGGTTCACAACATCGATAAAGACACTCGCGCACATCCAGACGCATCCAATTTTATTTAAAGCCGATCCTACGTCGGAAAATATATTGTTCTCTTACTTTTTCGTGTTTTTTCGATTTTCGTATCAATTTTTCTCTCTCTCTCTCTCTCTCTCTCTCTCTCTTTCTTTCTTTCATTTGCTTTTAAGCTATCTCTCTTTATCGGTCTCATTTTTTCCCATCGAATACAAGATTTGTTAAAAATTCCGTTCGAATCTTGACGCCTTCGAAGTAGGGTGACCGAATGTAACAAATTTCACTTATTGTTAAATGGTCATATTTAAAATACAATTTGGACGGGAAATACGTTATTTTTCAATTCGTAAATCTAACAAAGTACAATATATACGTGTATTTGATATTTTTCAACTATCGATCGAATCTATCGTAGATCGTTAAAAAATTTACGCCTCGTTATAATAATTCGGTAAAGTAAAAAAAAGATTGTTTGAATGTACATATACAATAGATACGGTAATTTTATCCGAACACCCTACGTTTGATATGTGTTTTTCATTTGCCATTATATTTCGTTTCGCGCCTTTTCGGAAAATTATCAAAGCCGAGTATCGATCCGCTGATAATTAATGTTTGCTATTCGTGATAGTAGTGGTGGTGGTGGTGGTGGTGGTGGTGGTAGTGTTGCTGCTGTTGCTGCTGCTGCTGCTAGAGGTGTGGTATTGAAAATTTAAAGGACAGATAAACCGAAAGAATTTGTACCCTTTCTTTTTTTTTTTTTGCAGGAAACAGAGACAGATTGAAAGAGACACAGAGAGAGAGAGAGAGGGTGTATATGTGTGTTTATATATGCGCGCGTGTGAAGAGAAATAGATAGAAAGAGAGGCTGGAGAAGAAAGGAGAAAAGGGGGGTTGTTTGAGCTGAAGCTCGTAACTTATATTTTATAATAGCACGTGTTACCGTGTGCGGTTTTGCCTGTATCGTTATACATCGAACGCATATGCGGACGTCAAAACGATCGAGCGTACAAAGAAATATTTGCCAAATGCATTCCGTTTCGGATCTCTATTCGTATGTAAATAACTCAGCCTAAAATCAAGCCAGAAATTCGGCCCTTACGTTTAGCAAAGGCTGGTCTCGTGCCAATATCGACGTGCGGCCGATTTGCTGGTCAAAGAATCGGGACTCGGGTTCGTGTGCGAATATACCTAATTCTTCCTCAAATTTCATTCGATTACTACCCGTCTCTTTTATTATTGGGGATAGCAAAAACGATTGACTTTATTAAAATATCATTAAACAAATTGTTTCTCTATTATTTTACCCATTTCTTTCTTTTCTTTCTTTCTTTTTTGACGAGATTACAAGAACGAAATTGTTGCCTACGCTGGAAATTTGTTTATTTACAATACAAAAAACGATTCGCGTTGGTAACAATTATCGCACGCGTGTTTGTTTGTTGCGTGTCTATGGATCTGTGTGTATGTGTGTGTCTGCTGTGCGTGTGCATTATATCGATCGATACTTCTTCGCGTGCAATGTTTTTTTTTCTTTTTTTAATTCTACACGGGGGTTTTTTTTTTTTTTAAATGCTATTGCTTATAATATGGAAAACGAAGAAAGATCATTTCGAACGATTACATTTACTTGTCTACGAAAACGCAAAATGTTGCTGACTACTAGGCACGTCGATCGGAAACCAAATAACGAATAGTTTGTACTTCGTTTTAAATATTATAATGGAACAATCGTAAAACGATTAATTATATAAAGATGCTCGTATATAAATATCATTGCGACTCGATATAATATATGCATGGTATGTATGTATAGATATATACATATATACGATTGCTAGAATATATATATATATATATATATATATATATATATATTTACGCTCGTTAATTCAAATCAAAAGCAAAATATTTTTCGTCAGAATATTAATTTAAACCATTGATCTACGGTAAGGATTCTTACTACGCGATTAGAGCGATGAAATTTACGCTACGATTTCTTAACAACATTTTTCTTGCAAATTACGATAATACAAAATGATAAAATAGCATCGTTCATTTTTATATAATCGTTTGAACTATAATTTATATTTCATTTGAATTGAAGAAAAGATAAGAAAAAAAACAAAGAAAACAAGAAAGAGAAAGAAAGGATAATAAATATTTTTTCTCTTTTAACAAAGTTTCTTCATGCTCATATTTTTCTTCTATGACGAAACGTAAAGTGTTAAGAACTCGTAAGAATGATCGTCGTTATCCAAAAGATGCGATGTGTTACACATGTTTAATAATGTCAGGCAAAATCTATCAGGTACAAAACATATTTTCCGACGTGTAAGATCCTTGCTCCGGTTTCTTTGTTTTTTTTTGTTCTTTTTTTTTTAATTTTTTTAAATAATTATCATTAATATATTAATTAAATTATCACACACGCACGCTCATTTGATCGACTCGCAAGCGTACTCTACAAACTTTTTTATTTTTATTTTATTTTATTATATTATTATTTTCATTTAAATTCTCATCAGAGCTTATCTCCTCTCATCGACGTAATTAAACTCACTCGCAGCACATACACACACACACACACGCAAATACACACGCACACGTTCCTGCCCATATTTCTTCAATCATATTTTTTTTTCTCATTTACCTATCACTGTGTGCCATCACTTTTTGTCGACGCGTCGTTACTTATTTTCACTCTTTCTTTTTAGGGTTTCTTTTTTTTATTACATTTTTCAAAATTTAATGTTTCTTTTGTTTAAATCGTTTGTGCGTCTTTAGTATATTTTTTTTATTTTTTTATTTTTTTTTTTTTTTTTCTAGATCTTCTTCGGGCTGGCTCTCACACGCGGGGGGATTATATAAACATAGAAACATACAAACACACATGTTTTCTTAATTTGTTTCGTCGTCTTCGTCGTCGTCCTTCGTATTATTTATTTCCTTCGTCGTTACCACCACCACCTCCTCCTCCTCCTCCTCCTCCTCCTCCTTTTCCTCTTCCTCTTCCTCGTTTTTATTTTTGTTGCATATTCTTCTTCTTTACATACACATGTGTAGAACTATTTACTTTAGCACGCCTATCCTTTCTTCTTCCGTTCACTTCAAATTCTGTATTTTAAACGATAAACCATTTTTCGTCCTAATATCGAATATACCACTCGCAATGAACTATTTTTTATACAATTTTCTTTTGTCTCGATTTTATTATATTTATTTTCTTTTCCCTTATGTTTTTTCTTTTTTCGAAGCACTTTATTGCAGATATATTTTTTTTTCTCCTTTTTTCTTTTTCATTTTTTTTTTGTTTGTTTGTTTGTTTAATCATTATTATTCACTTCTTTTCTTTAAACAAAGCACTTATTGCGTTAGATTCTGGATAAACTCTCACACTTCAAATGTTCTCTCTCGTGTTTCATTTTTGTCCGTAGAAGTTAATTTCGTGTAACGCGGAACGTGATTTTTTTCTAAAGCGTTATTTATATGGAGAGAGTCTGGCGTGAATGATGATGGAATGAGTGGTGGGAAGGTGATTATGATCTATGGTGTATCGTATATTGAATAAGTGCAAGCATCGGGGTTCGTTCGTGATCAGAGATCTTCGTGTTGCGCCGAGTTAWYSKTTTTTTTTTTCTGACGAGTGGAACTTTGTTTTTTTTTTCTTTTTTTTTCACTTGTTTGTTTTTATGCACCTATCCCACGATCGATACGGCTTGGACACGTCGATGAAAAACTCGAAGGAAGACTAATGATTTTCTTTATTTCCTTTTCTTTTTTCTTCTTTATTTCACCAAAAATAGAGAGAGAGAGAGAGAGAGAGAGAGAGAGAGAGAGAGAGAGAGAGAGAGAGAGAGATAGAGAATTAACGATTAGTATCAACACGATACTTATTTAATCGTAAAATTTATAAAAAGAAATCGAGTAAACGAGAAAGGAAACAAAGAAAAACAGTCTGACCAACAAGAACGTGTTTAATGTTACATTTAATGCACGTCAATGTGCGATCAACGTTAAATGTTAAATGAAAAATCACATAATATTCGTATAGGAATATCATTTGTAAAAATAAATCTTACCGTTTGTGATAAATAAATAAATAAATAAAAGAACGACAAAGTAATACGTTAAAAATCTATAGGAACGTGTGTGTGTGTGTGTGTGAGTGTCGTCTATTGATCATGGAAAGACACGGAAGAGGAATAAAACGCGCGTGTGCAACACGTTTTTAGGCAATTCAGGTGTTGTTAAATGATTGATTTTGGAAAACCCTCGCGCGCATGATGCATCCTTTTTCTCGAACGTTTACGATACGAAGACCATCGTATTTAAATGGTAAAGATCGATGTCGCTGAGAGAATTACAGTTTCAACAGGTATTATTCAACATAATCGATTTTTCGCTATACCCTCTTGAAATACTTAAGAATTATATCCGTTATTATAATCACAGTCGATGTGTGGATGTATTGTAATAAACGGAGTATCTATCCACGTTGAAGATATTACGCGAAAATATACTCCGATCTTTTCTTTCAACCCCCTTTTTTTTCTTCATTTTTTTTCCTCTCTCTCTATCTCTCTATCTCTCTCTCTCTCTCTTTTCAACTTTCTTCACATTTGCAAAAAGGAAGATAGAGAGAGAGAGAGAGAGAGAAAGAGAGACGTATAAATAGAGATTCCTCGAAAAATTAGGAAGGACGTTCTTCGGTGAAGGTAAAAAAGCTTTTCCATTTCCTCCCTCCCTTTTCCCTGGCCCACCCCGCCCTGCCGGTTTTACCACGTTTCGTCCTTCGACTCCCTTCTAGTCCGACCTCGATGCATTCACGCTTTCGCGGATCCTCTTTTTTTAACTTCTTTTATTTTTTATTCCTTATAGCGAGTTAAAGTTCATTTCGTTCGTTTTTTTTCGGCTGTACATGCAGCACCTGTGTATATGTATGTATGTATGTGTGTGTGTGTGTATGTGTATAAGGCTCGTAGCACTCGCGATATTTACGAAAAAGTCTGAGGAAGGAGTCCGAACGAGTGTAAATATTATTTTTTTCTGTTTGTTTTTTTCTTTTTTAAAGGAGCCTGGCAGACCCAGAAGGAGCTTCGTCGAATGACTTTTTTTTTTCTTTTTTAGAACCACAGTGTCGTCTCTTCGACGTCCGGATCATCCTGATAAGTCCGTATAGATATCGAAGAGGAGGCGGAGAGGCCAGGTGTGGGGACTCGAAGTTCAGCCAATAGGCCTCCTCTTCTTATTCCTCCATCTTGCGTCTTATCGGCTGAACGCCGCCACCAAAAACTACGCCTTGGGGGTGAATCTTCTAGCAATGAGAATCCCTTTTTGAATTTGACTTGCTTCTTAAGATTCTCGAGACCTCGACGGGGCTAGGCAAAACGTAAAGGAGACAGCGAAAGAAGCGGTACGCTGGCTGGGCCCTCCCCGTCGAGCGACCGTCATACAGGTGTTTCAAACGTCACCTGAAAATAATAACTCTTTTAATTTCTTCGTTAATTGTATTACAATTATGTATTGATTATTACAGCCGTATAGAAAATTCCTATTTAATAATGGGTCACCAAAATATATTTTAATCGTATAACAATTTTTCTGACCGAATTTTAATCTGTAATTTTTAAATACTCATACACACGTCTAAGTATTGTATATTATTTATTACGTTAACTTGAAGTATTATTTGACGTGATTGTTATTAGGAAGTCTAACGAATTTTATGTTTATTATTAATAAAGGTAAGTTTGATTAAAAGATTTCTCAAGACTCGGAAAAACTCATTATCGAATTTGAACGTTTATAAATCAACACGGTTGTAGAATAATCTCGAAAAAGTATGAATTATCAGTCCCAACAAAGGTGATTCTCTAATCCCTTATAACATATATTCGTTCTTTGTATAATTAATGATAAGATAACGAAAGTTCGACGAGTGACACTATTTTATCTTGGAACGTGCTTAACTTAACACCTGTATTACGTTATCGTAACGCTATTTCTGTGTATTTTCTTCTGCGTGCAGAGAAACACCGTCATGCAATTTTCGCGTTTACCTTTCTCAACACTTATCGTACTCATTCCCATATTTCGTGTCGAACTCAAAGTACTCCGACGACGGAAGGTAATAAGACATCAAGAATTTTACGAGCTTACGAATCTTTTCCTTATATTCAAGTAGTTTATTAAACGGCTCATTAGTTTTTCCTTTTATCATAATTGATACAAAATTATAGATCGTTATCGCGGGTTAATTATGATTGATGAATGATCATTTTCATCATCAAAAATGTTCTCGTTGTATTCAAATTAATTGAGATTATTTCGAGACAACATTTTTCTATGGCTCGTGATAAAATGAAGAGTCTTCTTTTTCTTTTTTCTTTTTTTGTTGACCTCTATTCACAATGACAGCTGTTTCATTCGCGCGTGGGCAACAGTTGGAAGATACTTCGTTATCCTATCTTTTCTACGAGTTTTGTTGGCCCGAAAGAAATTCTTCTGAGTAAGGGTATCGAAAGCAGTTCCAGTGTACTAACTCAATATCAAGTCACTTTTCTGGCTCGCGAACGAACGATAATTGAGTTTTTGCGTTGCTACATTCTCGAATGAAGTTTTTTCTCCTATCCGTTGTGAGTTATGCACGGCTAACACGATAGAGCTTTCTTGCAACCTCCTTCGAAATATTTTCTTGTCACAGACGTATCGAGAACACACGAAACGAGAGATCTGCTTTTCCTCGTAGAATACTCACGGTTAAATTATCGCCGAATAAATCTTCGCGAAAATAAGGGAACGTTTTGCCAAAGTAATAAGTTTCTTTTTGTTTTTTTTTTCCTTATTCCCTGTGCTTTTTTTTTCTTTTCTTTGCCCGAGGAATTCGTAAAAATGTGAAAGCACTTAATTACGGTAATGTCCTTACGTGAAACTAATTCTTATTCGATTTTACGACATTAAGATACATAGCGTAATTAATCTCTTCGAAAAAAGTTCGAATATTTCCTAGAATAGACGATTAACGTACATTGCTCAATTTATTTTACTCCCGTTTTGGAAATTCCATTAATTGTTTAAATTACTTTAACATTCCTTTTAAAAAAAAACGATCGAATATAAATTTATATAATCATTTAAAATTTGTTGTCGTCGAGATCATCCCTTTTTTATACTTCGTTTAATATCAGATTCGTTCGTTCGTTCGTTCGTTCGACGAACTAAACTTACCTCCCTCGTGCCCTTTTTCGAACGCTTCCTATCAAGCTTCGGTGTTTGAGGTAGCAAGGTGTAATCGCCACCTGCACCACCACTACGTTGCCGAGTCAGTGGCGGATGTGAAATGAGTGGCGCCCGCCGTGGTGGCGAGAATTGAACACCTTGCGGCAGTAACGAATACCCGAGGTTTTGGCCCTGGGTGAAGGGCGAAGTCGGTGGAAAATGATTCGCCACCACAGGCGCCCAATACTGATGAGAATATCGGGCCGGTGAACTTCCTGAGGAAAAAAAACCAATAATCCCATGCGTCAATTTTCCCGAGAGAACTATTTTCAACTATTTTCTAACCGTATTAATTATGCGAATAGTAATTCATTTTTGACAGTGTCAGTTTCTTCTTCTTCATCATCATCTTCTTCATCATCTTCTTATTTCTTTTAATAAATTCTAACATTACTTAAACATTGATAAAACGTATCAATCGTAAAAAGAAAAGTTTAAAAATAATCTTGAACCCATCAGTAGCAATGCGTTGTTTATATACTACCATAGACCCCCCATCACCATCGAAAGGATAACAAACAGAACTGACACAATGTAGGAAACTGGAGCGAGAAAATGTTCCGAGTTTATGTACACGTTATGATAGATCTCTGGTATTTAGTTCATTACAGAAGTTTGGAGACCTACACGGAATTGTTGTCTCGCAAACCTTCGCTCGTATACTGTGCTGATGCGAGTCTTTCGTAATTGCCAATATTAACGGTACGCTATTATCTATTTCGTAATTTTAGAAAATCAATTGTTTAAGTAAATACGAGTAGAACAAATTAGATAAAGTAAACGTTGATTTATGTTTTTTTTTTTTTAAATATTACCGATTCATTCTTATATTAAATCAAGTGAATATAATATAATATTATTGGAAAAGTTCTTACTGTCGCTACGGGGATTACTATGCCTCCTTTGCGCCTTCCACGTGGTAGAACGAACTCTTCCGGCAGTTTCTGTGTTTACGGCGTCTACGCTAAGACTTCTGGCGACGCCTCTGTAAGGATTCGACGTGGTGTTCTCACTGACCGTTGAGACGTCAGCGAGTTGCTCGTTAAGGGCGTATAACTTGGACGTAATGTCCTTACCGATGAGGGTGTTGAGAACGATTTTTAGTAACGGCCTATGCCTTAATACCCTCAGCAATTTTAGCCTAGTCCAACAGATGTAAGTGCTTGATTCCTCGGCTCGTATCGTTACCTGGAAGACGTCATCGATGTTTTCGTGCGTGGCCTCCCATTCGGGCGAATCGACGAATTGATAAGCTCTGACATGGTGCAGGTGTGTACCGTCGCACGTCACGTTCAGCCTGAAACCCAGACAGTTGTTTGTTTTCTCCCCCCTTTCACGCACCGTCTATAAATAATCTACCTTTCTTACAAATAAAGAAAGAAAAAAAAGAAAAAAAAGGAACTTGACCACAGTACGAGTTTAGTTACCGTGCCTAATGTTTTATGCTCTTAATGATAAAAGAAAGTCTTTTAAACGATGTTACATATCATGAAAAGGGGAAAAAATACACTTTGAAATATTTCTTTCTAACACGCAACAACATCATTAAATGGTGACGTGTGTTATCGATAAGAATATAAATGAGATCTTTTTCTCCGTTTTATTAAAGGAAGAACAAAATACAAAGCGATTTATTCTACAAAATATTGTTTAAATGAAATTACTCACTGTCCACGCAAGAGTATTGATAGCCTTTCGTCCGCGGGCGTGATACCTTCGGTCGCGTATGTTTGACCAGGATCCAATTTGAGTATCCTCGCTTCTTTGGCCAATTCTTGAAAGTGCTTCTTGCTGACCTTGTAAGGCTTGAAGAGCTTGAGGTACAGCTCCGCGAGTTCCGGGCTGAGAGCAGGCGGTAAAAATCGACAAGCTAGTATCAAGGAGTGTATGCCGTTTAAAAGCCCGAGTATGAGATTCCAAAGCATGGCGTCGAGAGCACATATAGTGATACCGGCCCACAACGCAGCAAGCATGAATCCGGCCGTTAGAAACGTACGAAGGGCCAAGACGGAGGCCTTAAACGAACGCGGCACCAGAAAGGCCACCATGTAAAATATATTCGCTGCCTGGAAATAGAACACGTTAGGATTAACTTATACGAATTCGAAAAGAAACCGATTTAGATTAACTACCAATTTTATACTGTTTGCCGAGAATTTCGACGAGAAACTAACAAAAGTTAGGGAAGAAAAGTTCCAACGTGAAATTATCTTAGCTCGACGACAAGGATTTCGTTATCGTTTAAATTTCAAATAGTCGATTGTCTTATTGCGAATATAATTTTTTTAACGGAATACGATTGAATATACATATATTTATGATATCGTAAATAAATCCTAACGAGGATATAGTTATATAGAATATTAGTAAAATTCTCAAAGATCTTGTTACATTCGACGTGACTATATCCAACTAAAAGCTTTCACGTGCTAAAAGGGATACCAATATACGTGTAAAACTTTAGACATTATTTTCATTCGAAGAATGTAAAAAGATAAGAAGGATCACCAAGAGATGATCTGACCTGGAAGAGCTTGTGTTGGGCTGCCTCCCACTCGTCACAGTAGCCACCGGGTATCAATACGGTGGTATTTAACCTCTCGGTCACGTTATCAGCAACCTCGGTACCGTTCAACACGTCCACCCAAAGTCCTGTGTAATTCAACTCATCCAAAGAGTAACCGGCGAAATTCGCGAGGTCGCTGTAATTGAAGGTATAGCCCTCAGTCGAGTAGGTCGTTGACGTGGGGTTGCTGAAAGGCGTCGTCGTCGTGTTCGACAAAAGGCTGCTCGCAGTTGAGGGAGCATCGCTCGTATTCGCCATTTTTCGTCGCGAGCGCGTGGTACGGGCCATCACCCTTCTCCCCCTAAAACAGAAACATACCACGTTTCGCCACGATACTTTCGATCGATCTTCTATCTCTCTTTCTCTCTCTTTCTCTCTTATTAACCTGTTTATTCTATTTCTTATTTGGATCCCGCTCATTTCCCTTCCCTTTATTCATTTAATCTCGCTACAACCTTGGATAAGGTTCATCAGTATCCTCGTTATCCCATCTCCTAAGTAAAGTTCTTTACAAGATTGTAAATCTTTATGGGTGGTGGGTTTTTACACTTGTGTATTTCGGTTTTCGTTATCCTACCCCTTGTTTCTTCTCTACAAAAATATAAACTTTGATGATTTTTCTCGTCAAGGATCTCGTTAAAAAATTTGGTCTGCATTTCGATATGATCACTCGGTACCACGAATAGGAAAAAATCGTGAAGTTTTTAAATAGAAATGGTTCCGAGCGTCACATTGTTTTCTAATTTTAGACCGAATCATTCACGATGGTTTCTGTTTTAAGCTAAGCTCATGGGTTAACAAACTCCGACGGTGGGCGTTGCGAATAAATATTCACGAGCGAGCCCATCGACGTACGTTTTGTCTAGACGCAATTTATTTTCTATACGTTTGCCGAGAGTAACCAAAAACCGCCATCGTCCATTATAATTCATTTCTTTGAACAACAACGCAATTTGGACAAAATTTATCATAGATAGAAAAGAAGATGAGTCAGCGCGAGTTTTTCTCTACCACCCACCATTGCATACGACTAAATTATCACCTTTGGATATCGACGAATTCTAATATTACATTTATGGAATAAATCGGATTTCTGCTTGAACATTTTCGTGATTCTAGAACGTTAGACGAATATAACCAAACGTGAATTAGGATTGATCCATCGACGAATATTATCTTTTATTTTCGAACTAGGATTGAAAAAGATCTTCCAAATTACGCCAAAGGTCTTTGATATATTTTAGATTACGAAGTAATACTGAAGTGTTATTCTCGTTAATATCGACATTTCTAGAAACGAATGAACATCGAATAGATTAACGATTCGTCGAAGAAGATTTTTAAATAAGAGGAAGGGATTGGAAATGTTTAGGGCAGGCGATCATCAATCACCCAAAAACGTTTGATGACGTGCTCTCATTTTTTACCGAAACGTAGTATCATCGTTCTCCTTTCATTCCAATTGAAAAATATATATGATCCTTCGTTTCTCTTGAATGTCTCATTTATAACCGGATGAATCCTTCTGGATGATATTTTGTCTAGACTTGTCGTATTGACTTTTCAAAGTCATGAATGACGGTACTGTTATCGTATCACCAAGACGAGGGGGTCAGCTTACCTTATTTTCCATTAAAATTCAATATTTGACGTTATTTAACAAGACATAAAAAGAGAAAAGAAATAAAGTGAAAAGACAACTTTTTTCCGAAGGGAAAAAAGTAATCAAGAGATTCGAACGTTCCCGCGATTCTTTCACAACTCGTAATTCACTTCGCTCTTTCAGCCGCGTTATTTCCTTTTTGCGGTTGAGTATACAAAAGCGTAGCTGACTTTCGATTAAATTTAAAAAAAAAAAAAAAGAGAAGAGGGGAGAAGTGGAAGCAAAAAAAAAATTGAAAAGGAGAAGAAGGGTGTGGGGGGGGGGGAAGGAGGGAGGCGGTGAAATGTCCGATGGCAAGGGATTTAACTGAATTCGTTCGAACCGTGTTCCCGACCGTTGAAATACGCTCGATGAAAAAGTTAGCGAAAAAGTAAGGTAAAAAGTTGTATTACCTGGAAATTCATCGGGCCTTTTAAGAACTAGCAGTTGTAGAGTTGCGGAAAATTTAAATGCTTGCAATTTCGAATAAAATTCTTTTACCGTGTACCATAACGCTTGTATATACCTATATATAGGATCGATGAGCTAGAGCTCCCTTTGAAGGTACACGTAGTACCACTCAAGGAATTAATATAACCCGACCGATTTTCAAATTCCTACACTTTTCTTGGTGAATTTCGCGCGTACACACGAAACCCTTTTCGTAACAAGATCCTGAGCTCTCGAGGAAGGTCTTCCTTTGAAGGCTCCGAGTGTTCAAAGATGATGACTTGCAAATTGGTGCGAAGGAAAGTGGTAGTAGACGAGAAGGAAGGACTCCTTAACGACTTGAAAGGTGAACAAAGATGAGAATATCGAGAAAGACCGTATGTATGGTTACTATCTTTTTCTATGAAAAGGATGAAAAAAAAAAAGAAAAAAATAAGAGAGAAAAGTAAAGAAAAGAATTCGTAGTAATAGTCGTATGCAAATCAGGCTATAGCGGTCAAAGTATAAGACGACGGTTGATGCATACAAGTATTCATGAAAGTTGGAACACTTTATTGCGCTCCATTTGCTTATGTCACGTTCCTCGTAAAATGTTTGCCGCGTCATTACTTCCGGTAATCTTGGCTCAATCAGCGCGGATTGTTAAATGGTCTGGCTGTCTCTTGGTGTATGTATGGCAAAAAAAAAAAAAGAAAAAAAGAAACCGAACATCTTCCAAATCTATCATTGAAAAAATAAATATTTGATCGATTTTTATCAAATTAAAAATCAATACATTTGAAATTGTTTATTACTACTTAAAGAATTATATCGAATATATAATAATGTGTACGAAGTTAAGAAAATTGTAGAATCCCCTTATTTTTTTCTTTTTTTTCTGTGTTCGTTACTTTTGACATCGAAGAAGTTTCTTCGACAGTTTATAACACACAGAAGAAGCACCGAATAAATGTCTTGGACGTCGAGTTTCTTGAAACGTCTGAACCCAACACGCGAAAGTAAAGATATGTGGCGGTGCTTTTACTTTTAAAGAGTTACCCGATCGAAACTGTTTCAACTTTTACGCTCGTCTACGGTGTTCCTCCAAACAACTCGGTCTCGATCGAAAAGTTTTAGATCCGGTGAACAGATGGAAGCAAGATTCTCGATGAAGCGGATCGGTATTCCTCAAATGCTGGCCTACTTTATCACGGTTTTCTCTTTCTATCTCTCTTTCTCTCTCTGTTTATGTATCTTCTTTCTCTTTTTAACTGTATATATTTTCGTAGTTATATCGACTAAAGAATTAGGACAAGCCGGTAAATTTTTTGTTGTGTTCCTTCTTTCATTGGCTATATGGAAAAACCAAGACTCGGACAAAGCGCGTTAGATGAAACAGAATGGAACGTAAATCTCGAACGGTCGAGGCGCTTAACGATTTTTCAGCAGGGAACGTTTCCACATTCTTCACACTCGACTGCCACCCAGTGAACCGTCCAATTTGGAGGCCGCTGTTACCAGATGCTCCGATTCTTTCGTCCATAACAAGGAAGGAAGAAAATAAGAAAAAGAAGAAGGAAGGAAGGAAGAAAGGAAGGAAGGAAGAAAGGAAGGAAGGAAGGAAGGAAGGAAAGAAATAAAAACGCTCTCGACGCTAAACTCAGAAGAAAGTTACTTTCCTTAATATTTAACTTCCTCGATTAACATCTTTTCTAGAAGTGTATACTCGTGTACAAAAGATTTTACGAGAGAGAAAGAGAGAGAGAAAGAAAGAGAGAAACGGAAGAAAAATATCCGTAGAAACAATACTGTTCGTCGTTCCAATTCCCACGAATTCTTTTATCCGCATGAAAGTTTAACCTGGTCATTTTGTCCTCCATGGAAAATACGCTTTTTATTTACCTGAAAATAACATCCGAATGTAGACCGTATGTATAGGTTTATGCACGTGAATATATATATATATGTATGCGTTTGTGCAATGTCCGACACGTCGAGTGTCGAGAAATAAAATAGAAACAACTGGAAGAACGAAAAAGAGAGAGAGAGAGAGAGAGAGAGATAGATAGATAGAGAGTTAGAGAGTTAGACAGAGAAAGGCAGTAAATAAATTGGCGTTAAATTTTCGCTCGTTTCTCTCTTGGGAGAAATGGCGGCCGTGTTAAACCCCTTTTGCTTTTTAAATCCCATCACTGTGTGTTTTACGTGGGTAGAAACTATTGTGTAAATAAAGTCAAGGATTTCTACGGTCTCTCATCGAGAGGTTACGATCTAAATGGTAGCGTAAATTTAGATGCAAATGTCCGAAGGTACGTGTACGGGAGCCAAGAGGACGCGAAGGCCAACCATAATCGCACATCACGAATCCCTACGAAAATTCGATATCCAGGCTCAAAGTTTGAACCAACCAAAAGCTTTATATGCGCTAAGGCATTAAACCCTTCTAACTCAGTTCGATGAGTACTAAGAAGAAACTTCTCTGACTGGCAGGGTTGAGAGAAGAGTAAACGATAGGAAACCGGAAGCATTCGGAAAATTAACTCGCAGTAATCAACAGCGTATTCCTTCGTATTCATGTAGATCGATGTAACAATTGTTGAAGTAACTATCTCATGTTGACTTCAAACTTTCCTAGTGTTTGCAGAAGATACCAAAAGAAAAGAAAAGAAAAACTCGTTCATCTACAAATTGAAAATTCATGTATGAAAAAAAGCTTTTATAATAATAATAATAATAATAATAATAATAATAATAATAATAATATTATTATACCTTGCGATAATATTTGAAATGAATTGAAATAACGTTTAAATATGAAACAAGAAAGTCCACTTCGATCCATTAACTTGCGTACACAAGTTCATATCTCAGATCTTTGCTGAGTCGATTGAATCGAATTATAGTACGCTTAATTTAAAATCTAAAAGTATTATATATACATATATATATATATATATATGACTGTTCGTCTACCGTGACCCTATCATCCATATATATCTCTTAATATAAAAGTATAACGTACAAATAAGTTTCTCGAAATAGACAAATTTGTCGCATTCGTCCGAGTTACTTTTTCGACTAGAAATTCTTCCAGACTTATTCCAGATGGAAATACCCAATCAAATTGCTCGCATAAGTCTACGTCCAGATGTGTGTATATCCATTTATACATATATAAATGTATAATATATATATCTTATATGTATATATATATATAGTGTAGAATAGAA